CAGAGCAGCCGCCCCGCACCGACCGCGAAGCCGAGCTGTCCCAGTCTACGGACGCTCTCCAGCAGAGGTGCGCAGCTCTCGCCGCCGACCTTGCCGCTGCCCAAGCCCGTCAAGGCCCTTTGCTCCAGCGCCTCCACCGCGCCGGTCGTGCCTTCGCCGAGCTGCTTGCACCCCCGCCCGATGGTGCTGCGCCGCCACTCACCCTCCATGCTATGCTGTCATCGCTCCGCGGCGCTCCGCCTGGAGCCCCGCGCTAATCTCCGCCATTCTGCCTGCCCGTGTGCACGCGTGGCCCCGCGTCCACGGTGTCAGGGCGTGGGGGCGGGGGGCGCCCCGTCCCTGCGCGCCGCGCTGCGGCCAAGCGCCCAACTGGCGGTCTGCCAAGCCGCCTAGCCACGTGTCCGCACGTCGCCTTTCTTGTTGGGGCCTTCTTCGTCACGCGGTCTGACACGTGAGATCTTCACAGTCTGTCCGCCGTCCGTAGCTTCCGACGCAATGCGCCGGGGGAGGGGGTCTGTTGCCCGCCCTCGTATCTTAAGGCTGCACCGCCGCTAATAGTGTTTTGCGGGTTGTCGCACCGCAGTGCGCCTCGCGGACGGACCCTGGTCCGCCTACTTGTCCGGTCTCTCTCTCTCTCTCTCTCTCTCTCTCTCTCTCTCTCTTCTCTCTTCTCTCTTTCTCTTCTCTCTTCTACTCTGGTGCAACTCGGCATTGCCTGGCGACTAGGAGGAACGGGTGACTCCTCTTTGGGAAGCAAAATGGCCTGCCCCTGAGACCCCCCTTGGGGCTCCCAAATGATGCCCCTGGCAGCGTTTTGCGACCATGAGGCTCTCAAGAGATACATGTTGGGGACGCCAAACGGCAAATCTAGCTGAGGCGCCCCACCAAAATCGGCGCGAACGGGCTCGTGAGATCAGCCAGGGTGGCTCCCCCTTGGGGCTCCCAAATGATGCCCCTGGCAGCGTTTTGTGACCATGAGGCTCTCAAGAGATTCATGTTGGGGAGGCCAAACGGCAATTTTAGTTGAGACGTCCCACCAACATCGGCGCGAACGGGCTCGTGAGATCAGCCAGGGTGGCTCCCCCTTGGGGCTCCCAAATGATGCCCCTGGCAGCGTTTTGTGACCATGAGGCTCTCAAGAGATACATGTTGGGGAGGCCAAACGGCAATTCTAGCTGAGGCGTCCCACCAAAATCGGCGCGAACGGGCTCGTGAGATCAGCAAGGGTGGCTCCCCCTTGGGGCTCCCAAATGATGCCCCTGGCAGCGTTTTGCGACCATGAGGCTCTCAAGAGACACATGTTGGGGAGGCCAAACGGCAATTCTAGCTGAGGCGTCCCACCAAAATCGGCGCGAACGGGCTCGTGAGATCAGCCAGGGTGGCCCCCCCTTGGGGCTCCCAAATGATGCCCCTGGCAGCGTTTGTGTGACTGCAAGCCTCAAGAGAGACATGTTGGGGAGGCCAAACGGCAATTTTAGCTGAGACGTCCCACCAAAATCGGCGCGAACGGGCTCGTGATATCAGCCAGGGTGGCTCCCCCTTGGGGCTCCCAAATGATGCCACTGGCAGCGTTTTGTGATCATGAGAGGGTGTGAGTGTGAGTGAATGTGACTGTGAGTGAGTCTGAGTGAGAGTGAGTCTCATCTTATCTTATCGAGTCCTATTTTATCTTACCTTTATTACCCTCTATCCTATCTTATCTTGAAATCTCTTATCTTGTCTTAGCTTATCTTATATCAACTCATCTTATCGCATCATATCTTGTCTTATCTTATTACTTCATAGGCTGTCTTATCTTATCTATTATCCTACCTTGTCATATATCTTATCTTACCTTATCATATATTGTGCTATCTTATATTATATTGTAGTATCTTGTCTTGTCTTGTCTAATCTGGTGATTATCATTGGGAGGAGGGAGGCGCGAGCGGGATGAAGGAGGAACAGTGGGAGGCGTCAGAGTAATAACAAGAACCCCAATCCTTAGGATATGGGGAATTTTAGCTGAGACGTCCCACCAAACATCGGCGCCGAGCGCCGCCGCTCGTGAATCAGTCCAGGGGGCAGGGTGGCTCCCCCCTTGGGGCTCCCAAATGATGCCCCTGGCAACGTTTTGCGACCATGAGGCTCTCAAGAGATACATGTTGGGGGCGCCAAACGGCAATTCTAGCTGAGACGTCCCACCAAAATCGGCGCGAACGGGCTCGTGAGATCAGCCAGGGTGGCTCCCCCTTGGGGCTCCCAAATGATGCCCTGGCAGCGTTTTGTGACCATGAGGCTCTCAAGAGAGACATGTTGGGGAGGCCAAACGGCAATTTTAGCTGAGACGTCCCACCAACATCGGCGCGAACGGGCTCGTGATATCAGCCAGGGTGGCTCCCCCTTGGGCTCCCAAATGATGCCCCTGGCAGCGTTTTGTGATCATGAGGCTCTCAAGAGATACATGTTGGGGGCGCCAAACGGCAATTCTAGCTGAGACGTCCCACCAAATCGGCGCGAACGGGCTCGTGAGATCAGCCAGGGTGGCTCCCCCTTGGGGCTCCCAAATGATGCCCCTGGCAGCGTTTTGTGACCATGAGGCTCTCAAGAGATACATGTTGGGGGCGCCAAACGGCAATTCTAGCTGAGACGTCCCACCAAAAATCGGCGCGAACGGGCTCGTGAGATCAGCCAGGGTGGCTCCCCCTTGGGGCTCCCAAATGATGCCCCTGGCAGCGTTTTGTGACCATGAGAGAGTGTGACGTGAAATACCTAACGCGCAAGACCCCTATCCGACAGCTACGGTTCTAGTGCTGACCGGGTGGTTTTGCGGTCAAAAGAGCTCACAGATCACTCCACAGGGGGGTCCGGGCAGGTGTTGGGAGTTGCCGGGCGGCAGGTGCCGGGCTCGTTTTTCGCCAACAGTCACACACTTCGTGCTCTTCGAGTTCCCAGAACTCCATTCCCAGGCTCATTCTGAATACCCGGATGCAACAGTCACACACTTCGTGCTCGTCGAGATCCCAGAACGCCATTCCCGGGCCACATTCTGGAGGGCCGGATGCAACAGTCACACAGTTCGTGCTCTTCGAGTTCCCAGAACTCCATTCCCGGGCCACATTTTGAATGCCCGGAGCCAACTGTAGGCCACTTCGTGGTCTTCGAGTCCCCAGAACTCCATTCCCGGGCCACATTTTGAATGCCCGGATCCAACTGTAGGCCACTTCGTGCTCTTCGAGTTCCCAGAACTCCATTCCCGGGCCACATTTTGAATGCCCGGAGCCAACTGTAGGCCATTTCGTGCTCTTCGAGTTCCCAGAACTCCATTCCCGGGCCACATTTTGAATGCCCGTAGCCAACTGTAGGCAACTTCGTGCTCTTCGACTTCCCGGAACTCCCATTCCTGGGCCACATTTTCAGCAGGGGCAAGAGCACGACGAGGAGGAGGACGAGCAAGACCAAGAGGACGAGGACGAGCAGGAGCAGGACGAGGAGCAGGAGGAGCAGGAGGCAGCAGGAGAAAGAAGGACACTGAGCAGGAGGAGGAGGAGGGAGGAATGGGGGGGGGAGAGTACCAGGAGGAGGGAACGATGACCACCAGGAGGAGGAGGAGGAGGAGGAGGAGGAGAGAGGAGGAGGAGGAGGCGGATGAGTTAGAGGAGGGAGGAGGAGGAGGAGGAGGAGGAGGAGGAGGAGGAGGAGAGAACACCAGGAGGAGGAGGACGAGCAAGACGAGGAGGACGAGAACGAGGACGAGGAAGAGGAGGAAGGAGGAGGAGGAGGGAGAGGAGGAGGGGAGGGGGAGGAGTACCAGGAGGCGAGGAGGAGGAGGAGGAGGAGGAGGAGGAGGAGGAGGAGGAGGAGGAGGAGGAGGAGGAGAGAGCACCAGGAGGAGGACGAGCAAGACGAGGAGGACGAGAACGAGGACGAGCAGGAGGAGGAGGAGGAGGAGGAGGAGGAGGAGGAGGAGGAGCAGGAGAAAGAGGAGGAGGAGGAGGAGGCAGGCTGAGGCTGAGGCTGTGACTGCGACTGCCGTTGCCGCTGCGACTGTCATCGCGAATGCGACTACGACTGCGAGAACAGCAGAATTCGACAACTGGATTTTCATCTGAATCTTAAGGGGAATGCTTTCAGATATGCTTCTACACATCGCTGTTAGGTTGCTTTGCCGGGATAATATCTTATATTGTCTTAGCTTATCTTATATCAACTCATCTTATCGCATCATATATTGTCTTATCTTATTACTCCATAGGCTGTCTTATCTTATCTATTATCCTACCTTGTCATATATCTTATCTTACCTTATCATATCTTGTGCTATCTCATCTTATCTTGTAGTATCTTATCTTGTCTTGTCTTATCTGGTGATTATCATTGGGAGGAGGGAGGCGCGAGCGGGAGGAAGGAGGAGCAGTGGGAGGCGTCAGAGTAATAACAAGAACCCCAATCCTTAGGATATGGGGAATTATACCTTTGCAGAGGCGGCAAGGACAAAGCGACAGCCGTTGCGGCCCAGTGCACTAACGGAGCTGCGTTGGGTGCGGTCGCTGTTTCCTTGCATCGTGGGCGACGTGCGCCGGCGGTGGTCGCCAGCCGTCGCCGCCCACGACGCGTCCCCGTGGGGCTACGGCGTCGTCAGGGCGGAGTGGGAGGCTGCAGATGTGTTGGCGCATGGGGGGCTGTCGGAGCGCAGCTGCTTCCAAGGGCCGCTTGCCGCTGCAGGAGCGCCGCGGGACCGCGCGCTGGAGGCGGAGGTGGCCCAGGCGCCAGACGCCGCGTGAGCCCCGCAGCCCTGGTGGGCCCCGAGTGGCGCGTGGTCGGGCGCGGCCGCTGGCGACGCCGCGAGGCCTTCCACTGCCTGGAGGCTGCAGCAGTCAGCTGGGCGGTGCGCCGTGTGGCGAAGGATGCGCGGCGCCGCGGTCTACGTCACCTCGTGCTCGGGGTTGACATGTCAGTTGCGGAAGCGCTTGCGAAAGGAAGAGCTTCTCACCGTCGTCTCCGCTTGACTTGTCGGATTGTTTTCGCGCTCGGTGTTGCGGCAGACATGAGAGTACACAGTCGGTGGATCCCGACAGAGTGGGACCCCAGTGACGAGGCCTCCCGTCGGTATCAGCCGCTTGGGCTCAAGGGGAAGTTCGAGCGGCGATGGGGCCCCCGCGCCTGGCGGGGCGGTGCATGCCGAGGCGGGCGCTGACGGGGCAGACGCCTGTGCCGCGCGCCACCTGGAGTTCAGGCTCAGGCCAGGCCGCCGCGAGGTCCTCGCGCTCCCGCTCGGCCAGGCGGTCAGCCCCTGTCTCCCGCCGCACCGCTGCCAGGGCGCCGACGCTGGGGCGCGCGCGGCCGCGCAGCTTGCGTGGGCCGCGCGCCGATCGCGTCGACCTGGAGCTGCGGGCGCTGGTGGAGGCCGAACGGCATCAGCTCTGCTCCAGGCTGACACGCTTGGAGGCGGAGAAGGTGTGGGTGAAGACCCAGAGCGTGTACCTGGGGGTCTTGAAGGTCCTCCTGGCCGGGCTGCGCCCGGGCCCCCTCCCCGCCTGGACGCGCGAGGAGTGGGGCGCGACAGCGTTCGAGTTCGTGGAGTGGCTCTTCGACCAGGGCGGCGCTGATGCGACGGCCAAACGGTTGGGCTCGGCGCTCGCGTGGGGCGAGCCGAAGCTCAGCGCGGGCACCCTGCGCCTGTCGTTCCCCGTGCTGCAGCAGACGCTGAGGGGCTGGGTGCAGCAGCGCCCAGAACTGTCGCGCCCGCCCGTGCCGTGGCTGGCGGCAGCTGCCGCGGCGCTCTGGCTGCTCGAGCAGGGGCTGGAGGTCGCGGCGCTAGGCGCGGTGATCATGTGCGAGACGTACATGCGCCCTTCGGAGCAGCTGGCAATCGACGCCGACCATGTCGTGCCACCGCTGGAGGGCGAGTCTGTGATCAGGGCCCAAGAGGGGTTGGTGCCAACCAAGACCAACGCCTTCGACGTGAGCGTCCCGCTGGACATGTCGAGGCAGCGCTGGCTTGCCCGCTGCGTGGAGGCGCTGGTGCGGCGCCGCGGCCCCGGGGAACGCCTGCTCGAGGTCGAGTGTGTGGGCTTCCAGGAGAGCTTCAGGACAGCCTTGAGCGCTGTTGGAGCCTTGGAGTTGCGGGCCACGCTCTGCTGCCTCCGCCGTGGAGGCGCTAGCCACGACCGCTGCGTGGCCGCCAGAACCTTGGCGGACGTCCAACAGGGCGGGTGGTGCGCTTAGTGTTTCAGGAGCTTGGCAAGGCGCGCGTGCGCGAGTTGCGCCGGCGCGTGTCTGGTATCGAGCGCGCCTTCGAGAAGCGCTTCGTGCGGCGCTGCAGGCCTCCCGCGGACGGCAGTCACAAGTGGTGTTGGAGAAATTCTCGGGAACTGGCGAGCTCAGCCGCCATCTCCGAGCCCGAGGTGGGGCCGTGATAGAATGGGATGCCAGACGTGGGGCATGTTTCAATCTTCTATTTCCTGAGGTTTGGCATGTGCTCCGTGGGTGGATATGTAGTCAAAGAGTGAAGGTTGTGTGTTTGGGAACCCCATGTGCAGGCTATGCGAGATCCCGCCGTGCCCCCTTTTACAATAAGATGCATCGCGCAATCAGATCCCTTGAGTATTCCATGCGTCTGCCTGGGCTTTCTGAAAATGATCAGCGTCTTCTCCTGGGCTCCAACCGTCTTGGGACTGTTGGGGGGATGATCCAAAGTTTGTGTATTGCTAGAAGGATTCCTGGAGGCGAAGAGGATCCTTGGCAGAGTTTTTCGTGGCTGCGCCCCGACCGCCAAGCTTTGTGGAATTCAGGATTTCTCACCGATCGCGTAGTGGATTTCTGTGCCTGCGGTCGGCCGCTTCGAGGCCGCCCGCGCCTAAAATTTTGGTGTTGTAAACCTGATCCAGCCATGGACCTGCTACGCTCACTGGCAAACAGCCGGGCTTTTTAAAACAACTAAGTTGAAGAATGCCTATCCCTCTCTTCTTTGTTCCCTCCTTGCCTCCTCCCTCCACAGGGCGTGTTCCCGTCAAATAACACATGCACGACGGTTCCAATTTACATCGCGAGTGCAGCACAATGCTTGTGTAACGGCTTGGTTGGGTGATGGAAGACACTAACATTTTGCCGAGGTGCCTTGCCATCAGTTCCTCGGCGGATGTCCTGCGAGCCTCAAGCAAGTCTACTGACTAAAACATGCGCTCATGGATGTGCTGCACGATAGTGGTCAGCGTTTCGACCATCGCCGTTTATTCTCAAGTATTTCCCACCTACCCATGGCCATCCATCGCCTCAGTGGACTTGAGATTGCTGTGATGGAAGTGTGTTCGAAGAATGCGAACATCTTCTGAACACCTTTTAGGAACATCAATGATTTTGGCCTCTTCGTGCCCTCCTGGGAAACCTCCTGGACGCCTTTGGGGCCGTTTCGGAGGCCTCTTGGGGTCCTCCTGGGTCGTCTTGGGCCATCTTGACGCCATCTTAGTCAAAGGCCAGCAACATATGTACACGTACGCGGTTAACTTCCCCTGGAGTGCGTGTCAACGCGGACGTTCGTGCAGGCAAGACCGCGGAGGGCGTACATGTACATATGTCGTTGCTCGCCCGCTTAGGCCGTCTTGGGGGCATCTTGGGCCGTCTTGGAGGCATCTTGGGGCCATCTTGGCTGTCTTGGAGGCCATTCTGGCCGTTTTGGAGGTCTCCTGGGCCCTCTTGGGGGCCTGTTGATCCGTCATGGGGTCACCTTGGAGGCCTCGTGGGCGATCTTGGGGGCCTCTTGGGCCGTCTGAAGCCGTCGGAATGCCGAAAAGAAGCGCATGCACAATCCTTCAACAACCTCAGGACAATCAATGATTTTGGGCTCCTCAGGCCCTCCTGGAGGACTTGGAGGCCTCTTGGGCCGTCTTGGAGGCCTACTGGGGGCCTCTTGGGCCGTATTGTGCCATCCTGAGGCCATCTTAGGCCGTCTTGGGTGCATCTTGGGCCGTCATGGAGGCATCTTGAGGCCCTCCTGGAAGACCTCCTGGGCGCCTTTTGGGCCGTCTTGGAGACCTCTTGGGGGCCCCTTCGGCTGTCTTGGGCCATCTGGAGGCCATCTCAGGCCGTCTTGGGTGCATCTTGGGCCGTGCTGGAGGCATCTTGGGGCCATCTTGGCCGTCTTGGAGGCCATCTTGGGCGTCTTAGAGGCCTCTTGGGCCGTCTTGGGGCCCTCTTGGGGCCGTCTTGGGGGCCTCTTGGGCCGTCATGGGGCCATCTTGGAGGCCTCGCGGGCGATCTTGGGGCGATCTTGGGAGCCTCTTGGGCCGTCTGGAGCCGTCGGGAGGCCGAAGAGAAGCAAATGCCAAAATCCTTCAATAACCTTTTCGGGCCTTCCTGGAGGCTCTCTTGCAGGCCATCGTAGGGCCATCTTCGGCCGTCTTGGTGGGCTCCCAGCTCGTTTGACGCCGTCGGAAGCCGTTTGGGGGGCCTCTCTGGGCCGACTTGGGGCCCTCTCGGGGTGCTCCAGGGTCGTCTTGGAGGCCATCTTGGGCGTCTTCAGGCCTCCTGGGCCGTCTTAGGGGGCCTCTTGGGGCCGTCTTGGGGGCCTCTTGGGCCGTTCGGGGGCCATCTTGGAGGCCTCTTGGGCGATCTTTGGGGGCTCTTGGGCCGTCTCGGGCCGTCGGAAGGCCGAAAAGAAGCAAATGTCAAAATTCTTCAAACATCTATGGGCAATCACTGTTTTTAGCCTTTTCTGGCCTTCCTGGAGGCCTTCTTGGAGGCCTCTTGGGCCGTCTTGGGCCAGCATCGAGCCAACTTCGGCCATGTTGGTGGGTTCCTGGCACGTCTGACGCCGTCGGGGGCCGTCTTGGGGGCCGTCTTGGAGGCCATCTTGGGCGTCTTGGAGGTCTCTTGGGCCGTCTTGGGGCCCTCTTGGGGCCGTCTTGGGGGCCTCTTGGGCCGTCATGGGGCCTCTTGGAGGCCTCGTGGGCGATCTTGGGGCGATCTTGGGGGCCTCTTGGGCCGTCGGAAAACCGAGAAGGGGCAAATGCCAGAATCCTTCAGAAACCTTTGGAAAAACAATGATTTCGGCCTCTTCGGGCCCTCCTGGAGGACCTCTTGGAGACCTCTTGGGCCGTCTTGGAGGCTTTCTGGGCGAATTTGGACGTAGCTGGGACCCTCTTTTGCCGTCTGGGAGGCCGTCTTGGACCATCTTGGGCGAGCTTGATGGCCATCTTGGCCGTCTTGGATAATTTTTTGCGGACGTTGAGGTCGTTTGCGGGCCTGGAGCTCCCTCCCGGGACCCCGGCGGGACGCGCCGGAGCCCCGGGGGGAGTTCTTTCGGAAAAGAACCAAAAACAAAACCGAAATCATCTAGCACGCCAGGCACCGTTGTGATGAATCAACAGGGGGCGGCGGATCGAAGACGCCTACGGCGAATCACTGCCGCCCCCTGCCTTTTTGGAAGCGCCTATGTGGCCGCGCGTTGAGGCCAGACCTGCCAAGCTATCGGGCCATGTGTTCCCCGAATCGGTTTGGAAAGCCTTCGGGGAACATGTGGGCATCTTGAAGGTCATCTTGGCCGCCTGGAGGCCATTTTGATCTTTTCGGGCATTGTTGGAGGACGTCTTGGTGGGCTCTTGGGCCGTCATGGAGGCCATCTTGAGCGTGTTGGAGGCCTCTTCGGCCGTCTTGGGGGCCTCTAGGGGCCGTTTTTGGGGCCTCTTGGGCGATCTTTGGGGGCTCTTGGGCCGTCTCGGGCCGTCGGAAGGCCGAAACAAAACAAATGCCACAATTCTTCAAAAACTCATGGGAAAAATGATTTTGGCCTTTTCGGGCCTTCCTGGAGGCCCTCTTGGATGCCTCTTGGGCCGTCTTGGGCCATCGTAGTATCATCTTAGGCAGTCTTGGTGGGCCCCTGGCCCGTCCGGAGCCGTCGGAAGCCGTTTGGGGTGCCTCTCTGAGCCGACTTGAGGCCCTCTTGGAATGCTCCAGGGCCGTCTTGGAGGCCATCTTGGGCGTCTTAAGCCTCCTGGGCCGTCTTGGGGGCCTCTTGGGGCCGTTTTGGGGGGCTCTTGGGCCGTTCTGGGGCCATCTTAGAGGCCTCTTGGGCGATCTTTGGGCGATCTTTGGGCTCTTGGGCCGTCTTGGGCCGTCGGAAGGCCGAAAAGAAGCAAATGTCAAAATTCTTCAAAAACCAATGGAACATCATGGCTGTGCGGGCACTTGAATGACTTGTGAACGGTTCGGCGATGTATCTCTTCATAGCCGCTCCTCTGCTCGAGCATTTTGGAGGACCTGCATGTTTCCCGCCCTGCTGGGGAACGCAGGGCTTCAGGATTTCGCTCGGGCTCTCGGACACAGCTCGCTCGCTGCCATCGCGGGACAGGTGGCGTGCCCGCGGCCTCCTCCGTTCCCTGCTTGCGAGCTTTGCTGCGGCGAATCGGCGGCCTGTGATCTGAGGTGCCCCGCGGTGAGCTGTCCGAGCCTCACGTGCCCGGTGGTGGAGGTGCCGCCCTGCCCGTCGCCCGTGCCGTGCGAGAGTGTGGGGGCGCCGAAGAGGCACACGTAAGAAAGCTGGGCAGTGTGGCTTTCGGTTCTCTGTTGACCTTGGTGGGCCAGTGGGCTGCGGGCCGTAGCTGGAGACATGCGGCAGCATCGAGCTCCGCGACTGGGAAGCGAGGCGTGGTGGAGCACCGTCCGGCTGGGGATTCGGCTGCTTTTCAAATACGACGAGGACTTGGTACACGAACGCGTCCTACTGTGGCCTCTCTCCACTAGACACTGGACGGTGTTGACTCCAGATGATGACATCGATGACGAAGTCTTGGATGGAGAGGACATTGAGGAAATCTACCCTGTGCGACGGGGAGGGCGCCTCCCTCCCAATCTTGTGCACCCCGCGTATCGTTTCCGCGCGGGCCTGGAGGTGGAGGCGGTGCGCCTTGCCATCGGTGAGGGACATGCTGAGGCTGTTCGTCTGCATGCCGAGGGTGTGCCCGACCTGGTGAAGGCCGATGACGTCCGTGGCTGGTGTGACTGGGGCGGCGCTGAGTTCCTCTTGGCGATCTGCTAGGACCGGAGATAGCCCTGGGCCCAGGAGCACGTGAGCGAGCTCTTCTCGATGCAGAGCCAGGGTCCGCGTGGGCCAGCGTGTCAGCGGTGGCGAGCTGGAGGCGGTGGTCGGCTTGAAGGGGTTCTACCGCTTGCGAGCTTCTGGCGGCATCGAGGAGGTGGTGTTCGTGGAGACGATCCGTGAGGACGAGATCGGTCTCTACGCCGACTCGCGGCGCGGCGCCATCCAGGACTGGGTTGGAGGAGCTGCCACCCCGCGGGTTAACTCTGGGACGAGAGCCGAAGGGGCAGAGGACGCCGCCGAGGACGAGGATGACGCCAGGACGCTGGCTGTGCTGTACGACGAGCAGGGCGAGAGGTGGAGGCCCTGGCGACGCGTTGCTGCCTCAGCGTCGGAGAGCTTCTACGAGAACTGGCCCATCGAGGGCCCCAGGACCATTCAGTGGCTGCTGAAGCACGTGGGGCGCGCTGGAGGCAGCCCACTGCAGTGGTGCCATCGCTTCTTGGCCGAGTCGAAGATAGCGCCTGCTGATCGTGCTGCTTATGAGATGCAGGTCATTTGCATGACTTTTGAGTATGCTGGCTCGTGCGATCAGCTGAATCTTCCATCGTTGTCGTTTTTCG